CAGACAAACATGATGTATTTTCCTTTCAGACATTGATTGTAGTATTCTGTAGTAGTCCGTGAGCTAGTGACACCAGACTCTGGGTAGCATTTTGGTTCAAACTTCCGCACTTTTGGTTCTCAGTTGCTTTAGATTTAAAGTCTTCCGTTTAAATTTTGTCTCATTTATTATATTGTTTGAAAGAAAGCAGGAAAGGTGTTTTAAATATTTGGCTTGCCTACCTCCGATAGTAGGCGCCATCACAACACCCGATGGTGGGAAATCCGGGTTGTGACATGAATGAATGGACCTAAGCAGTTAACCATTTCTATTATTCATTTGATCAGTTGCTTGCGTCATCCCGGCTTTTCCTTATTTCCATTTGCAACTTCTTCTTCTTTCTTTTCACTCATGCCTTTCTATGCTTGATTTCTCTTTTTTTTTATCCTCTCATTTCTCTCTTTTGTTTTGCCATTGTTTCCTCCCCATGGTTTCTTATTTTTCTCTCTTTTCTTTTCTTGTTTTTTTTCTTTGTCTTTCCTCTATTTTTATCTTCTTTTCTCTCTTTTTTTTTCTTTTGGTTATGGTCGAATCATATGGAGATTTCCTACATATCATGACCCCGCATGAATCAGACCGAGCGTAGTTCTGGGGGATAAAAATAAATAATAAAACATTTTAGGATTTTCAAATTTTTCATAAAAATAACATTTTTGATTACAACGACTCATCCTACCGAATTTTAACTATAAAAACCAACAGACTCAAAAAGGAAACTAATAGACTCTAATATCAAGATGAAAACACAGACTCGAAAATAGACTAACAAACTCCAACAGAAAGAAAATACATACTCTAGTAAAAATCATGAACACATCAATGCCTCAAATGCTCCTGGGCCCGTGGGACATCATTCGGTCTCGCCACGGGCCTCTCTACGATATCCCCTTGAAGCTTCTCCAAATCACTCATTATCTGATGGACAAATGTCATCACTGCAGCGAAGAAAGTGGTACGAGTCATGTCCTCACATGCTTGGCATTTCATGACAATGTAGTCGGCAATGGCTCTCACCCTCTCTCGGATTTTACAGTTTTCCTGAAGCAGACGCCCGACCTGCTGATTCTGGGCTTCTAACACCTGACTATCATGGAGGTGTTGATTTTGTAACTGTTGTATTTCTTCCTCCATTTGAGCCATCAAATCATAACTGTGTTCTCTATCAGCTTTAAAATCTTTGGCCTGCTTGGCTGTTTCATTCTCGAGAGTAGTGACTTTTCTCTTCAGGTTGGTGATTGTCCCTTCATACTTTGTTGCACAAACTGTGCCTGCCCTTTTGCATTTTCCACCAATTGAGCCCGGACTTTTGCTAGACTGGTTTCAGACTTTTCTAGGTCTTCTTGACACTCAAGTGCTTTCTTTCTCATGCTACCTATATGCCTTTCATTCGCTCGGCTTCTTTCCGGGTTTCTAGCAACTATCCTTATTTTCTGGATTTGAGCTTTGAGGGCTTCTTTTTCCTGATTCAGCTTTTCTTTACCCTTTCATCTGGGGCGGCTTGTAAACCATTCTCAAATCGAAGATCCCTGACTTGTCTTTCCAACTTGCTTATGGTAGCCCTGTACTCGTTTTGTTTGGTCAACCAGTCCCATTGCACCTGTGCTCCGTCGGTAAATTGTTGGACATGGGGTTTCTTTGCGGGCCTTTCGGGCTCCTGATGAACTTGGGATCTTTTACCATACCACGCAGTGTAACTAGGTTCAACCTTGCCTTGGATAGATCTCGTACTTGAGTTCTAGCCTCTAAGAATCTGCACTGGTGCCAAATCCAACGCATTTTTTCTTCCGAAAAAGTGACTTTTGGTTCCAAATTAATAACCTGCCGACTCAAATCCTCATCGTATGGGATAGTCTAGTATCGACCTAACTGACGTAGAACTCGGTGCGGGGCATAAGGCTGGATACTCCGAAGACCCATCAATAGCAGAAAACATACCTCAGCCGACATATAAATTACTTCACTGACCGAGAGCTAACCAAATGCCCATTTGATCTTGTTTGCAGTCAAATATCTCAAGTGGGCATGTCATGCTTCTGTACCATCCGATAACTCATAACCCTCTACCCGCTTTTCATGTTTTTCAATGCACTCGAGGCCAGTTATACAATAATTCAAGAATCTGGGACGGTGGCAAAGGTGTTCCTCCATCCATAATTGTAACAACATATTGCACCCTTCAAAGTACCCAAGAACGCCATTATAAAAGCTAATCCTCTCCAATCTTCCCATTTGTTTGGGTTTACCGCGTGACTAATATTGGTATCTGGCGTCTCAAAGCCACAGGGATTCCCTTAAGTCGATACAAAAAGTAGAAGGTATATAATCCTTTTGCCAAATTTCCGTCTCGGATGTCCCGACTGATGCTTAACAAGTCCAAATATTTTTGACAGGTTACTGTTCTCGGTGCTACTGGGTACTGATTTCTAAGATTCCCCTCGAAACCAGTGTAGCCTGCTATCTCTTCGAGTGTAGCAGTTAACTCGAAATCAGCAAAGTGGAATACATTATGTGTTGGGTCCCAAAATGGTATCAAGGTCTCAATTATGTCCTTTCTCGGCTTAACCTTCAAGAGCCCGTCAATACCACCCAACACTTTTGTCACAGCTTTTCTGCTATTGTCCCCCAAATCATGCCACCACATATGTAACTCCAACATGATCTCTTCACGGACTCAGAAAGGTTCATTTTGAATCGTGCTCATCCTGCAGATTTATTAAGGTGATTTTATTTAAAAGAAAACTATAACTCATTTTGACATCAAGAAAAATTACCATTTTTTCAAAATTTTCACAAAAATATCCGGCTTTGCTAATGCGGCCTTTCAGCACTCCGAAAATGAAGATTTTAAGACTGCGTTCGCTAACCGGCAAAACCTTGAACAATGACCAAAGGTGGCTATTCTTGCAAAAACGGCCTTCCGGCGCCCTTTTGGGGACGTTCGGCTATTTTAGACAAGAATGGCATCACCTTACTTATTTACAATAAAATTTAAATTTTTGTTCTTTTTGGGCTATTTTTTCAAAAAAGAAGTTGGATCCTATGGGGGTTGCCTGCATATCTTGCACCCTGTGAGAATCAAACTGGCGTAGTTCGGGCGATTTTGAAAAAACCAACTATTTCTCTTTAAAAAACAAAAAAAAATCTTCTTCAAAATTTCGGCAGAGTTTCAGTATATTTTGCACATCGGTTTATCAAAAATAGGCCATTATCTCTCTCGGCCCTCACATTGACTTCCCTTCTCTCAACTTTTCCCCTATAAGCTGGTCAACATGCAAATCTGAAGCAAATAAATGCACAAGTAGCAAGTAAGATCCATCAGGATGGTCTTTTTCATATTTAGTACACCTGTCCTAGACAGACTCAACCCCTGTGTTGAGTCTCCAAAGTCAAATGCACGTGATGCAAAACAAACGTTACTATTAGGGATCCGACATGAGGTCTTGTTATAGTAGGTTTGAAAACCTGGGTTTGTTATTCTAGACCTGGCTTACCCGAGCGGACAGCTCGAGCCGAAGGGGGCAGCGTACCGGGAATACAGAAACTTCACCGGCTTTGCAACTTGTCCGAACCTCGTTCTAAATTTGGGATATGACTCTAACAGAAGAGAAGTCACACGAAGTGCACACTTCTCCATGATTTAGAAGACTCAGAGAGAGGAGGGATTTCATACCAGTTTATATATAGTTCACATAATATCAAAGCGGTAAAAGCAACAATTAGCACATTAGGCCCAAACATGTAACAAAATCAGATAATAGATAAAGCCAAATATAACAATTCATCTAAGCTCGAATTCTTGAACCCTGAACTAGAGATTCTGGGTTCTCTCCCCATCAGAGTCGCCAGAGCTATCACACCTCCTTTATCCTACACCCCCGGAAGGGGGTATATAAGGGAGTTTTTTCCAACTTAAAGTGACAATCGAAATGGGATTATTTACTTATTAAAAATTCCGAGTCGCCACTTAGAATAATTATGGTGTCCCAAGTCACCGGTTCAAATCCCGAATCGAGGAAAAGATTGACTCTGTATTACAGTCCGTGAACCACAAATTCGGGTAAGAAATTTTGTTAACCCGGGAGAAGGTGTTAGGCATTCCGGAGTTCTGTAGTTCTAACACGGTCACTCAACAGTTATTATTGGCATAATTATTTAATTCTAAAACATTTTGAACCTATATGCATTTTTACCTCAAAATCGCATTTATTTATTTTTAAGAAGATTTAACATCGTCTAAAACATGTCTTTGGATCGCGCCACATGAAATGCACCCGCAATCCGAAACACATTTTAATCAACGTTATTAAGATTTGGATTTGGGTCACATGAAATGCACACCCGAGTTTAGGGAATTAAATTATTCAAATAACGCACCTAAAGCAACTACACGTTTTAACTTTGCGAGGGCCATGAAAATTTCGCTAAATGGCACACCTCAACTTCTAAGAAAAAGCAAACACATTAACCAAATGACGGCCGTGCATTTAAGATTGTTGGGCACGGCACACCTCAATTTATTTTAAAAGGAATTCAAACTAGATTTCGGAGGGCCATAAATTATATTCTATTTAATATGGCACAATAATACTACAAATCTAACTCAATGAATCTGAACTGAAACCAAACACCTTAAATTTTAGGAACACTTTCAAGAATCAATCATTTGAACAAAATAATTTTCCATGAAAAAAAAATAGTAGCTCATGAGTTAAGATTAAAAATATAACGCCACTTTCCGAACTTCTTGTTTCTGCACATTTCGCATTAACTTGACCCAAATCTATACACCAAGTAGATATACACAAAAGAATCCCCAACCCCTAATTCCATGGAATAGTATCCATTCATATTTTATTAAACAAGAATGAGTAGCAGAATAAAATTCAACGAGAACCCGACTTATACGAAGAGATACAACAATTGGAGTCTTCAATTCCCTTGGTTTTAGACCAAAATTTAATTGTTCAATACTTATGCGACGTAGATAGCCAGGACAGATTCCATAACAAGGCTAATAGTGCAGAATTTGCAATCAAACTGTGCATATTTGCTGCTTAATTAGGCAAAACAAAGCAGATTTTCAGCAGGCTCACAATCAAAAAAATGCCCCAAAATACTGCACGTTTCAGCATGATTCATTGCTCGAATCAACTGTTTTTAGCAGCGCGAAAGAACTAAGTTCTTACAGCTGTAACGATGCAGATAACTTTCGAGCGGGAGAAGGAAAATAGAGCAAATCTACACATATACAAGCAACGAAACAATTGAGTTTCAACACCAATTTAAGTCATGATCTGATAAGAATGAATCATCAAGCAGCATACCAGATTCACAAATTCTTGTAGTCAACAAAGAATCCTACTGCCCGTGTCATTTAACATGAAGAGACCAAGACAAACTAACATGGGTCTAACTCAGTAAAACATAAACCAATGCAGATTAGTGCTAGATTTTGAAATCAAACAGAACATGATACTACATGGATCACTAAGATTCAACCTAGACACTATTACTATCCTAAGAACTCAAGAAGAATTATTTAGACTTAATTTTAGGATTTAAGTAACATATCTCAAGTGCAACCTCAAGAAAACAGACAAAATGCTCAAAGGAACTGCTTCATGAATACAGTAGATGCATAATTTTTACAGCATGAAGATCAGAGTGCATTTCCACATGGAGACAAGGAAACAACTTGATGCAAATGTCAAGCAGATGCTAGCGAAGACGAACAGATCAAGGACTTAATAAGCTGGAGACGAGTCGATCCAAGCCAACAGAGACAAGAATATTTAGACAATTAACCAAAGCTTCAGTGAAGTATTGCCAGCAGCTTAATTCAAAATTAAATTGCGACTTAGCCATTCTTACTCACCAACTAAACATGCTATTTTCCAAATTCAAATTGAATCATATAAGACTAAGAGCAAAGATCAAACACAACCTCAAAAATGTTGAAACAAGGACAAATGTACCAGATAGTGTACTCAAATGTGTCACCAATCGACCCTTGCACCCAAACCGCAAACAACTCGCCGAACTAACAAACCTAAGGTTCTTACCACATTTTAATCATATCACAAACAAGATAAGAGAAAGAATTAGCAAATGAACCTGAAATTGAGCTTTCGATTAAACTTTGATTGTGAGTATACAATGAGAAATCCAGCGCTGAAAATCAAACAAACCGCGATGCAGGGACCAACAGCCACGAACAACAACAATATAGTTCAATAAAGCACTTGAACTCCCAGAAAATTAGTCTCAAAGCAAAGGAAGAAAGAGTTCTCAATCTCAGCTTCAACACTTCAAATAATCCCCATGCTTAAGAAAATAGATTTAAAATCGATATCCAATAGCGGGATCCATTTTTGGATTTGAGCAGAGTAGAGAAATAAACAACTTTTTTCGTTTTTTTCTATATCCCTAAAATTAGAAGAAACAAAACTTTGAAACTCAAAAGTAAAACTCTATATCTCTTTTCTCTGTTCGGATGCCATGAAATTAAAAGAACAATTGAAACTAATAAGAATAAAATTTCTGAAGAGCAAAACCCAAAAAAGAAGAAGCCTCCAAAAATCCTTAAACCTTTTCTTCCATATATGTTTTTACTCTCCCCAGTTTTTTTTACCAGAATTATTTTTTTTTTTCTCAAAATCGGATGAGGTTCCCTATTGAAAATGAACACTTGATAAATATGGGGCTCCGATTTAGTGAAATTAATCTAACGCCTCACACTCATCCAGCAAAATCGTTCCCCGAACCTTCCAATCGTGAGATATATCTCAAATTTAAGCGAGTGAGAGGAGAGGAGAATCTTGGCATCAGAAACCATTAGAAACGGCAAGATGAGAGATGGAGGGACGCGTGGTTATGGGTTTGGAATCACTCGCCATGGATTTGGCGAGTTGAAATGCGGCTTTTTGAAGAAGACGATGAAATAGTCGCGTGAGTTAGGGATTTTAATTTGTTAGGTCTCTATATGTATTTGTGTGTGTATTTGTGAAGATGGGTCGGGTTTAGGTGCAGCCGGGTGGGTTTAGCAATTGGGCTGGGGAGTTTTAACGACTGGGCTGGGAAAAAACAATTAATCTTGGCCCAACAATTCATTCTTTCATCTAACTCCTTTTCTTTTTTTCATTTCTTCCTTTTTTCTAATTTCTTCTTAATTTAAAACTAAAAATAAACCTAAATTAATTCCTAATCTAAGTTATATAATCAAATTATATTAACCAACTTAAAAAAATAATTACCACCAATAATTAGGAAACAACTTAAAGGAAAAACTAACAAAGTTCAAAAATTAAAATTAAAGTGAAAAAATTATTATTTTTGTGATTTTCTCATTGTTATAAAATCATTAATTACTAATTAATTCTTAAAAAATGCAAAGTTAAATCCTAGATGCAAATGTAACATCTTTTTGTATTTTTCATTAATTAAATAAAATAAATATGCACATACAAATGCAGATACTTGACAGAAAATTCCACAAAAATCCACAAAATCTGCAAATAATGGACAATTATTTTATTTTTAATTTATGGGAGTAATTCCTATAGGGAAAAAATCACGTGCTCACAACGGTGGCAATGCTTAGCCTCATGCAAGAAATAGAGACAATGCTTAGTCTTATACAAGGGAAGGTTATGCATAGCCTTATGCAATTACGGAGGCAATGCTTAGCCTCATGCAAGAAATAAAAACAACGCTTAGTCTCATGCAAGAAAAGTCAACGCTTAACCTTATTTAATTACGGAGGCAATGCTTAGCCTCAGGCAAGATATGGAGACAATGCTTAAACTCATGCAAGAAAAGGCAGTGCTTAGCCTTATGTAATTACAGAGTCAATTCTTAGCCTCATGCAAAAAATAGAGAGAGTGCTTAGTCTCATGCGAGAAATGGAGACAATGCTTAGTCTCATGCAACAAAAGGCAGTGCTTAGCCTTATGCGCGAAAAGCAAATAATAGTTGTGAGAGAGAAAAGCATTTGTTAGCTTTATGTGTTGTGTTTGGCAACCTTGTCATTATGAAGATAGTGATTTTAATGTGTGTATGTATTTGCGAATGGCACTTGTTATATTCCTTGTGCCTGCATTCAAAGAAAAATTTTGAGTTTTGCGGGGATGGTCGGTTCGTGCATTTGACTCCCTGGTTTGCTCTTACTCCTTTCTTGAGATCCTGCTTGAGTCACCCTAGGTAACATCTGGCTGTCATAGAAATAAAGTTTTCTGAAAAACATGCATGCATTTGATAAATTATTTGTAGAAATATAGTTGTTTGAAATATAAGATAGTGCATGAGGTCAAATAATTTAGATGAACCGGTGACTATGACGCATTTTAGTTATATCACAACCTCCTTGCTTTAGAATTTTGAGGGTCCTCCTCAAAATTCTACCCCAGTTTAAGTGCATACTCCTGACAACACATTTCTTAGTTGTTCTATACGTGATGATGTTGGGCGAACTCGCGATCTTGCCCCAGTTTCGGATCATGGGGAAATGATGATCTTATTAACGTGTGACCGAACCCATAGGGATGGTTACGTATCCCATCTTAAATGGGAATCGAGTCAAGCGTAGTTCAGTTGCACCAAATGGAATAATGAAAACAATCTTAAACATAGTATCTCTTGACTGCTCCTCCTATTAGTACCCGTTGAACCATACAGGGACCTTGCCAGTTGGGTGAGAACTTTCCTTTGGCTTCATCCTAATGTGGGAAGATTCTCTTTATCACCAATTGTCGCGGTGTGAATTTCCTTAGCATGACCTTTTTGTTGAAAGATCTTTCCATTATGTTCTAGAAGAGTTGACCATGACATACCACATTCATTATTTTTCCATCAATGACAACTAGTTGTTTATAGTGGCTTTGTACCCATTCTGCATCGCTGAGCTCAGCTTCTTGTATGATTCTTAGAGAGGGGATTTCTACTTTGGCGGGAATAACCGCTTCAGTACCATAAACCAGTAGATAGGGAGTAGCCCAGTTGATGTGCGAACTGTGGTACGATATTGAAGTAAAGCAAATGGCAGCTTCTTGTGCCATTGTTTGTAATTGCCTACCATTTTCCTCAATATCTTCATGATGTTATTGTTGGCGGCTTTTACCACTCCGTTCATTTGCGACATTTATGATGTGGAGTTTATATGCTTGATCTTGAGTATTTCGCACATGGTCTTCATCAAATCGCTATTGAGATTGGTAGTATTATTGGTGATAATTGACTTTGGTACTCCAAATCGACAAATAATGTGGTCCCGAACAAAATTTGCTACGACCTTCTTAGTTACAGCTCTATAAGATGCAGCTTCAACCCATTTTGTGAAGTAGTATATGGCCACCAGAATGAACCTATGCCTATTTGAAGCAACATGTTTGAATGGGCCGAAGACATCAATACCCCTAGCAGAGAAAGGCTAGGGCGAACTTGTTGCGTTGAGTTCATTGGGTGGTACTCATATCATGTCAACATGTATCTGGCATTGGTGTCACTTCTGAAATGAAACCATTCATGTGTGGTCCATAGGTTCCAGCATGTAGTTCTTCGAGTAATCTGGATGCCTCCTTGGCGTCGACACATCGTAGTAATCCCAGGTCTGGAGTCCTTCTATACAAAATACCTCCGCTTTGAAATAAATGGTCGGATAATCTTCAATGTGTGCGCTTCTGGGTATGGGTTACAGTCTCTGGATATTCTCCATTTTCCAAGTACTTCCTGATATCATGGAACCACGGATTTTCGTCGATCTCTTCTTCAACATGTGCACGATAGGCCGCCTGCTTATGAATTCCTATTGGGATAGGATCAATGGAATTATTGTTTGGGTGCTATAACATGGAAGACAAAGTGGATAACGCATATGCAAACTCATTCTAGATCATCGGAACATGTTTTATTCTATCTCTGTGAACCTCTTGACCACCTCTTGTACACAATGAAAATATGGCAATATTTTGGTGTTGTTTGGAGCCAATTCCCCTAAAACCAGTACACCAAAAGATCTGAATCTCCGATTACAAGCAGCTCCTGAAGGTTCATGTCAATGGTCAACCTAAGCCCCCCGATGCAAGCCTTATATTTTGCCATATTGTTTTACGGATACCAGATAGTGTTGGTTGGTTTTTGATACTAAGACAGCTCCTATACCCACTCCTTTGAAGTTTGCTGCTCTGTCGAAGAACATTCTCCAACCATCATTGCCTCAGTGATATCTTTTCCTACAAATGATACCTCTTAATTGGGAAAATACATTTTCAATGGTTCATATTCTCTTACTACGGGGTTTTCTGCCGTATGATCTACAAACTCTTGTCCTTTGATTGCCTTCTGAGTTATGTAGACGATGTCGAACTCGCCTAACAATATTTTCCACTTTGTTAACTTACCCGTAGGCATGGGTTTTTGAAAGATGTATTTTAGCGGGTCCATCCTTTATATGAGATATATGGTGTATGCACAGAAGTAATGCCTCAACTTCTAAGCTATCCATGTCAAGCGCAATAGGTATGTTCCAGCAAAGAGTACTGGGCTTCGTAATGAGTAAATTTCTTGATTAGATAATATATCCCTGCTCCTTTCTTCTAGTTTCATCATGTTGTCCCGGAACGCAACGAAAGGCTTTGTCCAATACAGACAAATAAAGCAGCAGAGGTCTTCCAGGTTCCGATGGGACCAGAACGGGTGGTTTAGATAAATACTCCTTGATTTTTCCAAAGGCTTTCTGGCATTCTTCAGTCCAGCTTGTTGCAACATCTTTCCTCGGCATCATGAAGATTGGCTCACATATCATGGTTGATTATGCTATGAAGCGGCTGATGTAATTGAGACACCCCAATAAGGTCATCACATCTTTATTATTCTTCGGAGGTGGCAAGTCCTGGATAGCATTGATTTTAGATGGGTCTAACTCAATCCCTTGGTGACTGACGATGAATCCTAATAAATTTCCGACAGGGACTCCGAAGGCAGATTTTGCAGGATTTAGTTTCAGATTATACCTTCGAAGCCGTTCGAAGAATTCCTTTAAGTCTGTTATGTGATCCTTACTCCTTTTGGATTTGATTACAACGTCATCCACGTACACCTCTATTTCCTTGTGTATCATGTCATGGAAGATTATTTTCATGGCTCTCATGTAGGTGGTTGTGCTGTTTTTCAGACCAAATGGCATCATTTTGTAACAATATATCCCCCACAATGTGATGAAGGATTTTTTTCCAGCATCCTCTTCATCCATCCAGATCTGATAGTACCCTGCGAAGCAATCCACGAAGGACTGGAGTTCATGTTTGGCACAATTTTCAATCAGTATGTGTAAATTGGGAAACGAGAAATCGTCTTTGGGACTTGCTCTATTTAGATCTCAATAATCAACACACACTCTAACTTTCCTATCTTTTTTCGGAACTGGCACAATGTTGGCCAACCAGCTCGGGTATTCGACCACTCTAATAACCTTGGCTTTGATTTGCTTGGTGATTTCCTCTTTTATCTTCAAACTCATATCCGACATGAATTTTCTAAGCTTTTGCTTTACTGATGGACATATGGGATTAGTGGGTAGCTTGTGACCCACTATGGATGCGCTCAAACCAGTTATATCATGACCATGTAAAGATATCTTCATTCTCTTTTAGGAATCTAATGTACTCTTCCTTCTCTGACCATGATAGGTCAATGCTTATGCGTGTTTTTTTGACCGTTTTGGAATCCCCTAAGTTAAGTGCCTCAGTTTCCTCCAAATTAGACTTTGGTTTGTTTTCAAAGTTTTCCACTTCCCTGACGATTTTATCATGTATTATATCATCTTCCAGATCCTCTAAATCACTCTCCTCATGTTGTGTTTTCTCATTACATGTCACAACCGTAGGTTTATCGAGATAGGTAATAATAATGCTGGAAAAAATGTAAAAGTAATATTAAATAAGAAACGCAGTAATG